CCATTAAAAAGGCTTGTCCTTAATCACCTATTAACTGTGGTGCATACCCACTTCAGGCATAATGCTGTGCATCAACAATTGGAAGAAACTTCCTTGCAAGTGTTTAGAGGATACCATGTTTCTAAGAAGAATGACGAAAAATAGCATAGCGAATGCCGGCCCGCTACCGAGAAAAAATATTATTAATAATGCCACAATAGGCCCCCAGGAAGTACGCTTACAGCAGTTACCCAATGAGTGTTTAGACAATGCCTTCAGAGCGGGCTCTGAAAGGCCGCTATTCTAGCTTTTATTATGTGCTGCACCTTCCGCTGAGGCCTGGTTTTTTTCTTCATACTGACATCTTTCTTGGTTTCTTTAGTACTTGAATACATTGCCCACTTTTCCCGTTTTCTCTCCTGAACGCTTCTTCTTCACTTATCTTACAGATATCTTACATCTGACAAGATGACGCTATGGTTTTGCTTCTAATTTGTGTACTTTTTCTCATGTATTACTCCCTCACCCTGCCATCGCCCTAACATCACTTCTCTTTCTGACCCTCATGCTAAGATGGTGCATTTGAAATAGCCGATTCATGATAATTTTAGTTTCTTGTCGATGCGGCTCAGTGTTTCTTCAAGGTAAACAGCTTGTCGCGATTAGATGCAGGCATGTAAATATGGCAAAAAAAGCACGAAGACTGCATGCATGGCATCAAAACCAGAAGACAAGCAAACGGAAGTGGAAAGTTTGAAGGTGATCGCAGAATCGGTCGAGAAAGCTATGTCGAAACTGATAGAACGTAACGTAGAGACAATGTCCGAACGCCTTAATAGGTTATTAGCGTCAAAAATGGGGCTATTGATACAAGTGGGTAGTGTTCTGACAGTGGGTCACAGCCAAAAAAATGTTCCCTCAAACGTAAACGGTGTTCAGACGATGCCCTCGAATCAAGGTCTTAGTTCCAGCTTGTCTGCAAAAAGTGGTAGCTTTTAGTCTCACAAATATACCTTGCGGATTTACAGAAATGTGCAAGCATGTATGTTGACCAGCGTGCACAGAAACCAAAAGGGTCTCCGCTAGAGGTTTTCAATACCTGTACTAACTATAAACTCAGGTCAAGGGTACACCTAACATTTTGAAAGAGGCTGTAGCCTCGACGGTCCTTTTGTCACAAGAAGAAAGACGAGAGTGCTGCAGTAGAAGTTTCGATCCGTATTTGCTGCTTCTACTGATCTGAATGTTCTAATTTCTCAGATTCTTCCAGATGCTATTTTAATACAAGAAACTTGGTTACCTCCAGATCAAGTCTTTAGCCTGCGTAATTACCGACCATTTCGGTTACATCGTTCATTCAGAGAAGGTGGTTTACTCACTATTCTTTCTCATAAGTTCAGTCATTAGGCAAGACTATCCTTTCAGCTAATGTCTACAGAAAGTGAAATATTTGCAGTAGAACAAACTCTTCCAGGAGCTCTCAAATTTTTTCTGGTTTATACGTATTTTACTTTGGGTGTAGAAAATACTCAGCCACTAGATTCAGTTCTTCTATACTGTGGTAAAAAGGTTGTGCTAGCTAAGGATTCCAGCTCTCACCCTATATCATGGGAATTTAGAACGAGTCACAATAGAAAACGTCTATAGGACTGAGCGGCATTGATTAATTTCACCTTTCACAACACTATATCATTAACATTTTTACGGAGCCAGTCGGGATCGGCGCTATATTTTACGTTTTCGGGTCCAGAACTTTCGGCGTTGTCCTGGGGAACTGTTGACACTGGTTTGATTAGAGACTACGTTCCCGTTATATTTGATATCCATGGGTCACAGCATAATGCACAGTGTATCGTTCGTTTGTTTACTGATCACATTAGGTTAAAAATAATTCGCGGGCAATTTTTACATTCTTGGTTGAAAATCCAAGCAGTGCAGGGAATGTTTGCAGAATTCTTGACTCTGCTCGTAAGAGGTCAGAGTTCAAGATACAAGAAAGAAAAATCCCACAGCTAATATTGGGTTGAGTGACGACTGCCTCAGGGACTACAAACGCCGGAAAGGAGGAAACAACTCATGGATAATCAGTCTTCTTTTAACTGGAACAACTACGAGTTTATTACAGTGAGTTTCAAGCTTACTGTCACGAAAGCAAAAGACGCATATAACGTTCGCCATTTTGAGTTCCTTTCAAAATCAAGTAATGAAAGCGCACTCTCCCGGTATCTCCTGTCTATCAACTTGAATGTACCTTCCTTAGATGCACAATCAATAATGCATACTACCCAAGAAATAAAAGATTCTCTAGGTGCAATTTCCTGGCGTTTCAAGGGAAGATTCCCTACCTGCCTTCATTCACCTCTAGTGAGGCAAGACAACCTAGAAAATACCTAAGATATATCATTGTCGGCCCTCTCGTCCCTTGTAGTACGTTTATCAGCGGCAGCACGAGGCCCTGACGGTATCGCTGCGAAGATGCTGAAAATATTCTTGAATGTTGCTCCGATTGTGTATTAGATACCGTAAATTCTTCTATAGAACACTCTCAGATTCTTTCTGTGCGGAAGGTAACTAAAGTGATACCCCTACTCAAAGATAAAAACAAGGGACTTACTCTAGACACTATTCGACCGATATTGTTATTATCCAATTTTGTAAAATAATTTAGAGACTATTAGATGCTCAAATAAGTAAATTTTTTACTGTTATTAATTATTAAGTTCCTGTCAAATTGGTTTTAGCACAGATGTGTCTATCTGGTGTGCTCACATTGATTTGGAGAGCAGAATCCAGCTGGCATGGCGTTAGAAACAGTGTGCAGCATTTCCTAAACTAGATATCTCTGAAGCCTACGATAGTGTCGAATACCCAATTTTACTAAAAAGGATGAGATAGATTGGCTTGCCAGGATTTTGTATCGCGTGTACAACCGAGTTCTTTCTGGACAGGGAGTTTAACTGTGTACAGAGTGGGATACAAAGAGAAAAATTCAGACAGACACGAGGTGTTCCCTAAGAATGGATTTGTCCCCGCTACTATTTAATATGTTGCTTAGCTTCATTCCTTGTCATCAAAGAGTGAACATGTATGGTCACGCGGATGACATAGCATCTGCAAAGGACATTCAATCTCTTTATACCGTTTTACAAGGATACTTATTTACCTTGGAAGCTTGGCTAGACAGCATTTGTTGGACGCCTAACGTTCAGAAATGCGCACTTCTAGCATTCTCCCCGGAAGACAATATAATTATGTCACTCTCATTTCACCAAGCAGACATTCCCCAAGTGCAAACACTGAAGTACCTCGAAATCATCTACGATGAAAAGCCCCACTTGCGGATGCATATCGAACATGCAGTGACTTAAGCGTCACGTGCGTTAGACCTACTCAGAAGGTTTACTAACAGTCGATGGGGCATGCGGATAAACGCCTTAATAATGATTTACAGGATGTAAATACGCCCAATACTGGAGTTTGGGTGTGCCTTATTTTCTGGCGTACCAGCATGGAAGATACGCCTGTTAGTTCTCATTGAGCGCCAAGCGTTTCGCTCGTGCCTGGTGCTACCCAAATTTGTGGCAAACTCTGTTATATATCAGCAATCGCGAATTCCTTCTTTATCTGTTAGATTCAAATGATTAACAATTCAAACATTCTTAGGAGTCTATGACTCACCGATAAAACGAGAAGGATATATTTATCAGTGATACAGCTCTGTTTTTAATCTAACATGGCCTCGTTTTCATACCACTCAGATGATAGTTACCAGAAGCTGTTGGACCCATTGCAGATAAGGCTTGATGATATAATGCCGATAAGTGGCAGGTTCTGTGCATTAGCTATATTTATGATGATATATTCCCTAACAATGCGAAATTAATGCCTAGTAATCTTCTGAATGGCAATTTTCAAGAGCATTTAAATAATTGATACTATGGTTGTGATAGCTACTGATGCTTCGCAGTGTGAAGAAATGGCCGGTGCGGGAATTTTTTCTACACAACTAGAGTGGTCGTTTTCTGTTAGGCTTCCTAATTACACCCAAATATTTTTTGGAAAGTTCTTAGCCGTTCTTACACCAAAATTCCTTTAACTCTAACCTGTGTGGCTATAGTGACGGATTCATTGTCGTTGTGTTCAGCACTAATATCTTCAACAGATTCAGATATTCTAAGATTATTGTGATTACTTGTTTCTCATTATTTGCGCAATCTTCGTTCAATTTGGGTGCCAGGACACATAGGAATCGTATTCAATGAAGTTGAGGACTCTCTGGCGAGAGCTTCTCTGACAGTTCCAGCTCTCTCTCTCCTTCCTGTTACGGCGTTTGTTGCTGCGGCAAGGTTTTGAAAGTATGCATTATCTGTGTTTAGCTCAAGACTCGATTCATCAGTGGACTTTCTGCACCTACATTTTCCTTGAAGTATAAAATGGTGTCCTGGACCAACGCCTTCTCCGGGCGGGAGCCCTATCAATTCATATAAACGGGTTATTATCATTTGGCAGCGCGAGGGCAACTTGAATTCATTGACAACTTGAAGCACATGACGAAGCTTATGCAAATAACGAGTTTTCCGGCAACAGGTCAAATTTTAGGCATATTAGAAGCTTTTTTTTCTCAAAAATACGTAATGAATTCCTTTTGGCGTTTATGACACAAGCGGTGGTTGTCTGTTTTCCCTTGCTTAACCCTTTCACCATTTTGGGGTCTCCGGAGAACGGACTCGCATTATACGGGAAGCTTATAGCTGCGTACGTGCTAGCACATTCTTCGTTGGACACATCACGCTCAAGCGTGAGCAAAAACAATACGAACACATGTATTTTATAACGCAAGTCATTGATATATATATATATATATATATATATATATATATATATATATATATATATATATATATATATATATATAGCAGGCCACTGAATAAAAGAAGACGAGTGGAGACGTCTTTACACCAATAAGCCACCAAGTTAAAATAAATGGGGTCTTCCAGCTGCAATTCAAGATACAATATTCCGCGCTATTGTAAAACAGTATAAAGCCAGTTCCAAAAGCTGCTAGGGCATTGAGTGCTCTTCCTGTCTATGATATACGTGAATATACTGCATCCTTGTTTATTACAGGTGAGATATTTCCATTGAAAGCCAGGGATATATATCAGCGCAGTTTACTAGTCTGCATGCTTTATAAGATGTGAAGTAAAGAAAAACAGGAACATGTATTAATAATGACCTTGTTCAGTGGAAAACAAATTATCTAGATGCATAACGGCAACTTCTCCTTTATGGACATAAACCTGTAAAATAAGTGTGACCTGACTCTTTTCGCAAATCTACTCTACCAGCTTTGTACTTTACTCTGCCACGTTCAAAAGAGGAAAATGTTATTCGCCCTACACAACATTTTTCTTTAACAAATAGAAGCACAGCAACAAGCTCTCCAACTAAGACAGCTGGACACTAAGTTTTGCCCTTCGACACGCTATTCTTTTTTATGGCTTCATGTTTTAGAGTATTTTGCTTGATTGACTGCTTGTCGCTTTTCAAGAAACAAAAAAAGAGTGACTGCTCATATTGTTCTTTGAGTTAGGAACATGCTTGCTTACAATGTATTGAAAATTTTTTGCTTCTAAGATTGACAAATAATTCATGAATCGACCTAATACGATACCTTCAAGCCATTTGACTTATGAATCAATCTGACCTATAGAGAGTAACCAATTGTGTTTTGACTGTAGCTCTTTAGAAATTGATACCAAATAAGAGCAAATCTACCATAATTGCGGCAAGTCTCACTCTACATGTGACCGATGAAGTGTTTGTGAAGCAAAACCTTCAGATATTTTGTATCAGTAAACGCAATTAATTATTGTGTATATTTTTTTTCGATTAAACACGCTGAAGTATATCTGCTATGGAAGCAGTGACGATAACTTCACATGTCATACGCAGTGAAAAAAAGTGGTCATTATCTAAGCACAAAAAAATCAGGCGAAACATTTATTTGAAAGTTCAACTGTTTCAAGAAGATTCCTATAAGAGCTCGAAAAAATCTAGATTTTAGGGTAAGCGATTACGATAGAGCGAGCTACCATTGCAAGAAGGTTCGTAAACCATGAAGGGCCTTGCAAGAGCCCTTTAAGCATGGCCATAAAACGCTGCCAATCTGTAATGGAGACTCCTGAAAACACATAGGTGAACAATACAGTGCAACACGAGTCCAGGAATTCACATTCAATTCTCAAGGTGAGCTGATTATGGCTCTTTTTTCCCTTAATTATTGACGCAAGAAGCCTGAAAAATAACTCGCCACAGCCATAAAATGGCTGTGGCGAGTGATGAATGCGCGTGGCGAGGGATGCATGCGGAATGCTGCGTCTTGTAAACGCGTGCGTTACCGATTGCACTGAAAGGCCGCGCATTTGAAGATGAATGAATGGATGAATGGATGAAAAACTTTTATTGGGGTCCTGAAGGATTCCACCCCCATTTTATAGGGGTAGGATCGCGGGCCGCTCCCACGTTGGGACGAGGAGGCCTAGCCTCACCGCCGCATCGTGGGCCTTCTGGACAGCCTTGAGTTGTTGTATGAGAACCGGACTCGTGAGCATTAAATGAAAGGAGTTTTCAAAATTTTTTTTTGTAAAGAGAGGGCACCTCCAGAGCATGTGGTTAAAATCACTGCGATTCTGGCAGGCCGAACAAAGTTCTGAGATATCGGAGTAATGGCTATAGCTTACGAGGCTAGGGTATGTTCCCGTCTGAAGCATGCGAAGAGAGATTGCCCGTGGCCTAGACAAATTTTCGTGGGTTCTTTCTATTGCACATTTGAAGAAAAAAAAAGAAAACGTGCTGAGTGCTGACGGTGACGAGGTGCGCGTGACGTATTTTTAGTGGCTGTTCCATCCTTCCCTCTTTAGCTTCCGATAATTTTGTCAGAACAAGAGAAGAAAGAATACGATTAATTGATTGATTGATTGATTGATTGATTTGTGGGTTTAACGTCCCAAAACCACCATTTGAATATGAGAGACGCCGTAGTGGAGGGCTCCGGAAATTTTGACCACCTGGGGTTCTTTAACGTGCACCCAAATCTGAGCACACGGGCCTACAACATTTCCGCCTCCATCAGAAATGTAGCTACCACCGCCGGGATTTGATCCTGCGACCTGCGGGTCAGCAGCCGAGTACCTTAGCCACTAGACCACCGTGGCGGGGCGAAAGAATATGACTGCAGCGTGCGACAAATCTTCGTAACTTCACTCGCACTGGAAGGATTCTGAAAGCTTTAGCGGTGGTAAATTCTTGAAGAAATAGGCTCATTTAGTGAATCTATTACATGGCTGCTTAAAAGTGTTGCAGGGGCCTTTTAAAATGCACTCCAGTGCATTTTATGCTATACTGAGATAATGCCGTATTCAAATAGTATTGACGTTCCTGAAACAACTAAGGTGGCTCTTTAAGGGCGGTTTTAACTGGTCAGCGGTATAATTGGGGAATGATACAAAATTGAAGAGGGAGCTTCTTTCAATTCCATGGTGGGTACCGAATAACTTCACAAAATCCGTATTTGATGAAGTCACGCAATTCACTGCCAACAGCTACAGTTGCCCAGGGTGCAAACTTCAGAATCAGAATAACACAAACATAGCTCGCATGCCCCTTCTGGTGTGCGAAAAGCAAATTGGTGATGTTATTCGACGCGGCGTCAAGCTGTTCAGACTCGTCCGAACTTACCAGTGACAAAGTCAGCGATGATTGCGCCTATTATCTGAGCCCGTAAACATCGCTTCTTGACTGCGACCCGTCGGCGCGTGGAGCGTCTGACGTACGCCGGATCGATCTACTCGTTGCTGAGTATTGTTCGCGAGGGACACGAGGCCAACAAAAATTAACACGCTTTGTGCAGCCGGCAAAACTTGAGAGTGCTCGATTCGTTGTCGCCTTGTAGAAGAAAGCACGCACTGCATCCGTCTGCTGCACAAGGCAAGGTTTCGGAAAAGAGTAGCCACTCCTGTGACATACGCAGGGTATCCCTGCAAATTTTTTAGATTGATTTTCTGAAATACGAAATGACTTACGGTTCTATATTCTTGTACACATCAGCCAACTACCAACTAGAACAGATGTACCAAGTTTTATTTAAGTAGGTGAGTACCGAAAAATCACCGGGGTCCACTTTTGAAGCCCGGATTTAAGCGGGTACTGCGTGGGGATTTGATCAAGGCATGCATGAACTTTAAACCATGGTTGTAGCGATGTGTTTCCAGGATGACCAGATAGAGATTAAAGAGATTCGAAGAGGGCGAAAACTTCCTATCTTCACGACGGCAGAAGAGCGATGAAATCCATCTTGAATGGACTCAGTAGTGTCAATAACGTTTTTATGAAAAGAATTACAAACTATAGATGCATATTCAAAGAAAGGCGGGTTAGTCTTACGTACGCTGGCAGTTTGGTTTCTCGAGGGACAGCAAGAAGGGTGCACTGGAGAATACCAAGTTCATTCTAATAAGTCAATGAATAATAATTCAGTATTCTTGCTCTAAGCCCCATTGACAGTATATAAAAGTCTCAGATAATTTTACAGGGATGGTTTAAGTGAAGCTATATTGAAAGACTACGAGAAAATTGAGAGGCTGACCGCCTATACAGGGCGACAACTTTTAGCGGCATCACAGCGAAAGCTACATGACTGGAGCTCCTGCACATTTGTTATTACGCCAAATAGTCAGTTTCCGTGCCCCGCTGCGGTGCTCTCGTAGCTAAGGTACTCGGCTGCTGACCCACAGGCCGCAGGATCGAATCGCGGCAGCAGCGGCTGCATTTTCTATGGAGGCTAAAATGTTGTAGACCCGTGTGCTCAACTTTACGCGCACGTTACAGAACCCCACTTGGTCCGAATTCTAAGAGCCCTCTACTACTGCGGCTTTTATATTCATATGGTCGTTTCGCGACGTTAAGCGACACATATCAATCACTCCGTTTTCATGCAATTAGGTTTCGTTTTGCAAGCTTATCCAACATGAACGTTGTTGCACGAGCATCATTCTCTTAATGATGCATTTATTTAGTGGCAAGTCAATAAACTGTTGATTTTCAAGGGAAGAATTCACATTTATTCCAGAAAAAAAAAAGGCAGGGCAGAGCAGGAACTGGGCGACATGAATAACAACGCAAATGCAAGCAATCATTTCTAAATTTCAGCGCATACTCGATCGGCTTCGTTGCTTTTCTCCTTTTAGCGACGAAGGTACTTTCTGGAGACGCTCACGTAATTTTAAGGGGACACGAATTCGGCAACGAATGAAATATGGTGTGGACGGGAAGCAGAACTCGTGGCACCGATCGGTAAGGAGTGGGCACCTGTTTGTCATAAATCCTAACAGTAGAGACGAAATGTTCACTCGACCAAGAACACTGCTTTTGCACAGTCAACATGGTAATATACATGAAGGCGTCCATTGTCCAGACAGAGCTTTGCACAGGAATTTTATCCTCCTTAATCCCTGTCATCGCAAAGCCCAAAGAATCACTATCTCCTTAGACACACAGAAAAGCGGCGTTAAAGTAAGCGATCTTTGGCGTTACTGTGTAAACAATTATAGGCAGCTAAGTACTGACTGCGTGTGCAATGCAATTTTGGAAAATTGTCATTGCTTTTACGCACAGTTCCTTATCGCAATTTTTTTTTCAATCGGCGCCTGTTGCTGAATACTATCAGGTCGCTGTTGTCGATTTCAAGGTGGCTATAGCGATTAAAGTCCTACTTCTGCTAAGTATCACTCACGGCCAATTTCCCGGCGATTGCTTGTGCGGTAAACAAAAAATAGTTCACGATGCACCAATGTCTTCGTTTCTTTCTGCTCAATGAATACAGATCACCTAACGAGCTCGTACTCATGTTCGCTTGGAAGCTTCGATGTCAGCTTGGTGCAGCCGAGCGAAGCCATCGTTGTTAACCAGGGCAAAAAAAAAAGGTGAAATGACATCACAAAGCCATAAAACCAGAAATGGCAATGAACAAAAATTGAGCACGCGTCAAGCTTTCTGGTAATAACGCGAACAATCTAGAGCATTATATTTGCACATTTCGTTTTATATTTTTCACCATGCTGTGCAGT